TGTGATGGCTGTGTGATTAAGCAACTAAACCAACATGCTATAAAAGGTCTGGCAGCTGTAGCACTGATATACTGTAGGGCAAAAATTAACACAGCAGCACAGCAGAAACAGAATCTCCAAAGTTTCAAAGTCATAATCAAACAAACAAGTGAGGCAATGACCCTGTTTAGAACAGTCATTCAGACCAATTTGTTGCAGCAATATTGCCAAGAATGCTACTTGAAGAGTATTAACTAATGGCCACTATTATAAAAGCATGGCAACAAAAGCAATGGTTGTTATTTCTTGGTCATTCACACTGGAAAAAGCAAGGTTTTAATGTTTTTTCTTTGCTAATATGTTTATTTATTTATTCATTAGTTTCCACCGAAGTGGTTCCTAATTAAACATGATTATTGAGAGTTATTTTGTACGTGCAGAACAATCTTACATAAATCTTAAATAATGCAGCTTTAAGATGTGCCCTGTATGAAAAATGTAGTCATGTGCATTGTGTGTTCTTACCTATTGAAAACAAATCATTTTCAGACCTTGAAGGTTTTGGAAGCCTCTTCTGTGTAATCTGAGATTTAGTTATGTCCACATAACTTTAAGCTCAGTTTAACAGATAATGTACTGGGTCTCCCAAAACCAAATGTCACTGTTGTATGGTGACATTTGGTAACATAGTTTGTCTATTGGCTAAGAGTTTCATTTTGCTCTCATCTGACCAGACTACTTTCCCATTAGTATTTCATTGGCTTGTCCAGATCCCCATCCGCAATCTTTAAGCAAGCCTCAGGCTTTTCCTTCTGCAGTGGAGACTTGTGTAGTGAGTGTGCCGTTTGCCAAACCAACTAATTCCAGGTCTTTCTGAAACTCTCTCTGAGAGATCCTTGGTCTCCGGACAGGATTCTGATTATTTTTGACTCCAAAGTCATAAATCTTGTGAGGATCACAAGATTGTGGCTTTGGTTTTATTTCCACTTCCCAATTCTTGTCCCATCACTTGAACACTCAACAAAAATTCAAAGATCTTGAGCTCTTTCATTTTACCCATAAATACACGCTTCATTTGAGATACCTGGGTAATGAAAAACCTTGTAATAATTTTACTGTAATAGTGGCAGGATTACTCTCTAAATACTAGTAGATTTCTTAACAAAGCCACAGAAAACATTCTTTAAAAACTGAGAAGTTTTAAATATTAGATTATGTATTTTATTTAATCTGCAATGTTTCACATTTTGAAAATGGTCTCAAAGAAAAAAAAATGATTTAATACTTAATTACATATTCTTATTTAACCGTAAATATTTTTATTTAACCATAAATATGTTAAATATGAGGACAAATTGTAAGAACAACTTCTAGTTTTCGTCTGACAGAAAAATGAGGAACAATTCAGCTACCCACACACGAGCTGAGTAATCAGAAATGCTTTCATCGTGTGTCTTTAAGAACATTTAACAAGAAATTCTGAGAATCAAAAAAAAAAAAAAGGGGAACTATAAGACCATATGGAAGAAAATCCTACTCCTAGATATTGCAAAAATCCAAATTACATTTCTTAAAGTATGCTGGGACACAGACCTTGCTGTTTTTTATTTTTAGTTCAGATCAAATACAGTATTTCAGGTTTTTTTTTCAGTTTTCTCTAGCTCCAGTGACCTTATTTATCAGTGGTCAGACAGTAAAGTGGGCTATGACACACGGTAATAATCACCAGACCAAGACTCAAATCAATGAGATCCACGTCGAGGACTAAAGTCTCTGTATATGGGTCGCTGCTCTACCACCGTGCCCGATTTGAAGTATGGAAGTGGTGACGTCATGTTCTGAGATTTTTTTTTCTTGTAGGATGGATTAGTGCACTTTGAATAGGTGCCACTTTGATTAATGAACATTATGTGGAAGTAGTGAAACCTTGAGACATCAACCATATTGTATGATTATTAGATTTGTTACATTATGGCTTTTTTAGACACATCCATTCACATTTCATAGTTAGTTTTTCTTTTTTTAAAAAAAAAAAGAAAAGAAAACTGCAAAGAACTAAAAAGAATCGTAATCTTTTTTTTTTTTTTTTGACTTAATGTTTTGAGTCAAAGTAATCTTTTCCAAACGGGTATAAGCAAACATGACATTTATTTGCACTATAATTACTGACGGTCTATCTTTGTATGCTAAACGAGCCAAACTGGCCCAATGACTCATGATACAGGTCACCCGGTTTGTGTGTACACATGCAGAAAACTTTTCCTATCCTATAGTACTGTTCATTTGGTGCCAGACACCACTGCTTTGTTAGTGTTTTCATCTGGCTCAGATATGAGTCAGCATCCCCCGCTCCATCCCGCTAATAAACATATGTAAAGCAAGTCTCTGCATGCTGCTCAGACAGTAATCAACCCAAAACAGAGGGCTGCAGCGTGTTTCTTCATGCACATACAGCTGAGTGTCTGAGTCACTATTGATTCAGGGAGGATCTGTCTGGGGTAATCTCCTTAAATGGCTTTTTAGGTTCGTAGGTTATAATTTGTGACAACATTAGAAAAAGGGATTTAATCGCTACGCACCGGAATTAACTTAAAACCCAGTCTCAGACATAAAAGTAACTTCCTTATCTTATTTAAATACAGTTAAAATCTCATTCTGTTTATTTAATTAAAAAAAATCAGGAATATTGAGCTACTTTGCTGGAGAACCCATTGTGTTCCAGCATGCTCTTCTATCTCTTTACCACATCAGATAGTTTGTGCATGTCTGCAGTTGGGATTCACGTCAGATTATGTCTCCCAAAACAGATGTACAATAAAAAAGCAGATCTCCTTCAAGAAATCTAATCTGATCTGTTCCTGTCACCACATTCAGCAGACAACCTTGAGAAAGCTGCATGAAAGGTTAACTGGGCCACAAGCAGAATTTTCTTTGGGGACCCAAGCAAATTGTTCAAGTAGCAGCTGTGTTATATAGAAATCTTTCACTCTTGCAACAACAAGAAGTAGATTATAAGTAGGTCAAAATTCAACACATCATCCCCCCGATCTAAAGGAATTCAAAAACAATTGAGAGAAAAAAAAAATCCCTGACATCCATCATGCAGGAAATGGTTACACTTCATACAAACTGATGAATCACAGTGAGCGACATTACCCACAAATAAAGAAACAGCGTAACCACACATGGATGCACGTGTTACTCTAACCGTCCAATGACTGGTCCACGAGGTCATAAAAGAACCTAAATGAACAGCTAAGCAGTGCAGGCCTAAGTTGTCTCAGTTATGATCAGTGTTCATGATTCACTAATACAAAAAGAGACTCGGCAAAACCTCCAAAAGGTCAAAGTGAAACCCAAAATCAACTCAAATGCCTTCCCTAAATTTGCCAAAAACATCTTAATGATACCAGAGACTTTTATTCATCATACACTCAGTCAAACATAAAGAGTGTGATGGTTTGGAGTTACTTCAGTAAAGTGGGACCTGTTGGCATAGCAGCTGGAAACCGTAAATACTGCTCAGAAGCAAAATAAAACCTGAAGAAGAATGTCAGGCCATTACTTTGTGACCTTAAATTCAAGCCCACATGGGTTCCACAAGCAGGACAACAATCCAAAGTAAACAAGCTAGTCAGTAAGAAGGTTTTGTAGTGACTCGGTCAAATTCAGGGCGTAAACCTGATACAGAAGTTACATGGCAGACGTTAATGCTCAAAAATATTCTAATGTGGCACAAACAAAACAGAACAACTCTGCAAAGAAAAGGGGGCTACAGTTAATTCCTCCACAGAGATGTAAAGCTGATTATTTCAAATTCTTCAGGGTCATTGTTGTCACCGAGGATGGTGCTCCCAGCAAAAACAGGTTAAAAATTCATCTTGAATTTACTTATGTTATTTTTGTCTAATAAAAAAAAATTAGCTTGATGGTCTGCATTATTTAAGTAGGGCATAAAAACAACCAGAGAGTAAATCTGCAAGCGGAGCAAATACTTCTCCAAAGCACTGAAAGTCCAAGAAAAAAGTAGGACGAGATGAAAATTTAAATGGCAACAAATCCAATCAGTAACAACTCAGCAAATCTTTCTGATAAGGTAATGTTTTGCAGTATAACACTTCGACTAAAATTTATATGAATCATTGCACATACAAATGAAGGCAGGCCTAATATCTTGTTCTAAATTTATCACAAGAAAAGGATATTTCATTTGTAAATTAGACTGGAAATTGTAATAATTTAGCTGCAGAATTCTAAAAAAAAAAAAACAAGTGCATTCTAACTTTTCTCATACAACATATTGTGGTCGATGATATCATAGCAATCTACTGTATGCTAGTGCAATAACATTAAACCAGCACAACTAAGTGGATGATTTAGTCAGCACAAACAACAATAAACCCATTCATGATTTTTTTTTCAACTTTGGTAAAGATTTTCTGCAAAAATATTATGCTTATAACACCATCAATATGTTGAAATGTACTTGGAATACCCTGGCTAAAGCCTGTATGATTAGCACTGTGATTGAAAGCTTGTGAAGATTTGAAGGGTGATGACTTTACACTAAATAGCCCTCTACTAACTTAGTTTTTATTTTAAGGGAACAGGGGGACACATGTTAGTCGTAGTGTGCATTCCTGTGCACTGCAACTTGCTGTCATTTCAACTATTTCTTGCCTTGCTGATCTCAATTTAACGAGTTTGGCTTATTATTTTTTCCTTGCTTAATATTAATGATTCTTTTGTGATTAGTTTTTACCTGTACTTTTGTTTCATTCTGGTTTTCATGTATTAATGTACATTTGAAGGATTTTATCCTTCGTAAATAAGATTTATTTTTATTCTTATTCAACTCTACTTCTATTTTTGTGACTTTATTTTATTCTTCAGGTGACAACTACAACAGGTTTAAAATCTAACTGAGTAACTGCGCAGGAATGAGTTTCACACTCACGCGCATGCGCAATACCGCAACAGCCCAGCTGCGCATGATGACGCCACCCAGCAGATGATGACGCTGCCCATTCATTAAATACAAGACAAGCCCGGACACACACCGTCCGACAGCCGGTGGACGAGCGCTGTTTGTTTTGACCTAACCCAGAGGTTCTTGCGGCGGAGTGAAGAAAAAGCAAAACGAAGACAGAGACGATCTTTATGGGATTAAATCCTCGAACACTCATTTTTAAAGCTGTGTGAGTATCGGCGCCAATATATATAAGGAGCTCGGACGAGTTTGTGAGCTGGTTGTTCCTCAAATAAGCATCGCCGTCGGGGTACCTGTCAGAGGAGGACAGTGACGGATATCGTCGCTGACAATGGTCTTGGAGGATGAACTGACCACAGCCGCAGCGACGGGACAAACGGCAGAGGTGAAGTCTCTGCTGCAAAATGGGGCTCCGGTTAACGGGGTGAATAGTTTTGGACGAACCGCTCTACAGGTCAGTGCCTCCCTGAAGCATCTGCGAGAAACAAACAAAACAACAACAAAACAAACAAACAGAAAAAACAGTGATGTCTATTTTATATGCATCTATTGCATTTCGTATACTTTTAGTTGTTTCAGTCTGGTTTCTGTGTACAAATAGTGCACCTCAAAAGCAGACGGGATAACAAGTGGCAGATGAGGCAGCGACAACGCTATAATCTGTACTCCAAAATGGACGGTTATTCAGGAGGGCGAATAAAACTATATATGTATAATTGGGTTTGATAATGTCAGCGGCGTTCTGAGCTGAAACGAAACCGCAGGGAACCTTTGACTTCATCATAACTTTTACCTTATTTAAAGCTGCGACGGGCATTGGTTTCACTCTTAACATTGTGGTCGGACTGTAAAACAGGGAGTATTTACCAGCCGTCGAGACAATCAATCAACCAATCAATGAATGGAATATACACCTTATTCTTATATATATATATATATATATATATATATATATATATGTATACTGACTGCAAATAATTTGTAATATATCCGAGTCATGTAAGATCCAATCCAATATTAAGCGTGTTTCTAAAGTAGACTCTGACAAAGACGGTACTAAATCCTGTTTGGCAAGTTTTGAGCACTTTAAATAACTAACTCGCTGAGTTTGTACTATAGTGTTAACTGTCAAATTATTGTTAAGCGTTGCAGGGCCTACTGTAAAACTAACTGTGGTAAAACAGACGTTTAACAGATGAGGTAAAACAGCATGTAACCTAGAAAACACGGTCGATGCGAGATAAGTCAGTTCCTAGTGCATTTATGTAGAAAATGTGTTTTTAAAGCAAATTATAGAGTACCAATACATAAAAAAAATAAAATTAAGAACAATAGCTAATTTCGTGTGAGTATTTCATTTCTGTCATTTAAAAAAAAAAAAAAAATTTATTTATTTTTTTTTAGCGTTTTGGGCGCACTGCACCATTTTGGCAGATATGCTCCAAATTAAATTTTGCAGTGTATAATTATTGAGCACATGGTGGTTTTCGGTCACCTTAACAGTGTAGACGGGTTTGGCATAGAAAAATGTTTGCAGCGTATCACGGTGTTCAGCCGGTCGACTGAAAGGCGCAAGTCCAACAGCGGGTCACCCTTTTTGTTTGCGTACTAGCGAGAAATCAATGAAAACTAATAAAATGGGATTCATTTCGTTAGATGAATAAATGCGCAGATCATTCCATTTCCCCGCATGTGTCCATTGAGCATTAAATAATTCGCCAGGAACTGTTTGTTTTTGTTTTTAAGCATTTTATTCGGTGTTATAGGCCTTTGCATCAAATAATACATTAATTAAAAACGCCTGGTTCGGTTTTCCTGAAGGTGATGATGATGGGCAGCTCGGAGGTGGCTCAGCTCTTACTGACGAGCGGAGCGGATCCAAACGTTGCGGACAGAAGCACAGGGGCGACCCCGCTGCATGACGCGGCCCGAACGGGCTTCCTGGACACGGTGAAGCTTCTGGTGGAAGCCGGGGCCGACCGGCAGGCCCGGGACAAGGACAACCGTCTCCCGGTTGATTTGGCCAGACAGAACGGCCACACGGATGTTGTTGCTGCCCTGGACACTCTATAACTATGGGCCTGTCTTCAGATGAAATATTATTTAATTCAGTTGGTTCTGATTGAGAACCGTGAATAAGGCCCGAAAGGGCCCTAATTTATATTTATTTTTTATTATTTAACGAGATGCTCATAATATAGTAGGATACAACAGGACTTTTAATGGACTACTTTTAGAAATCGGTTTAGGATGATAAATCTTTTTTAAATAACGTTTTGTAAATGTTCATGAAATGCTTTTTTTTTTACTGTTCTTCTGAAATATATTTTGCTTAAACTTTTGTTTAATGAAGAAAGCTGATTTAGAAGCCATAACTTGTTGCGCATATTTGTTTTATGCACTATTATGAAACCAATACATTGAGATATTATCTCTTTGTATAATTAGTGTTTGCACTTTAATTTAAAAAAAAGTTATCTATGAGTTTGAAACACTGAAGGAGAGGGTAAGCATGCTTCAGGTTGTCACAAAGGTGAATTATTGTCTTTACAACCAAATAAAATAAAGAAATTACTTAAGGATATTCATTACACTGGGGAGTTTTGAACATTGTAGTGCAATTAAAACATGGAACGTATGGACTATGACTCCTGATTGTTTTTAAAAGTGTTTTTGTACGTGCAGGTGAATAACAGCTGAAATGTTTCCTCTTAGCAATTATGCTCTGGACTGGAGCTAAACCATTAAAGTGGCTAGAGATTTGCATTTTCCAGTTTACCTTTAATATGCGGGTCAAATAAAATTGTTTCATCCCTTTATTCAGTAAATGCAGAAACTTATTAGCTGTCATCAGTTTTGGTCTAAGTCCAACAGCATGTGGCCTCATGAACATTTTTAAGCCAGAGACTTGCACTCGGATAGACAAACGACGACAATCTTGTAATTTCTTCATTTCCAGTTTCCTGAACCAGCAGCACGTTCCCCTTTTATGTGTTATAGATGACAGGAACAAAAAGGGTGAAATCTGAATTGGCCTGGAAAAACCTGATCAGTGCAGCTGTGCTCTTGATCATGTCTATCCGCAGTGTGATGACCTTATGTTGTAAACATGGTGAGTTATTTTGTATTTCGGTAGCATATGTATATACCAGAATGACAACATGACTGGGCATCCAAATTGTGAATACAAAGAAAAATGAAAAGAAAAAAGATGTTTATCATAACATTTTCTGTTAGAGGAAAAAAAAATCATATCTTTTAAAAATACAAAAAGTGACAATCACATTTGCAATAATTGACTTAGTTAATAGGTGCCATTCAAGTAAGTTTTACTGCACTAATCTGTTGAACCGTTTATCAGTTTAGCTCACAAGTCAAAAGAGAAACGAATGGAAAATCCTGATTTACAGCATCAACCGGATCAAAGTGACCAAATCTACTAAAAATTATTCAAATTTTCCTTTTTTCTTAAGAAACTCAGCAAAGACCTCAATGTTTTGATTTATACTTTATTCAGATATTTGTTCATGCATGATGGATTGACAGTTCAGCCTACAAAAAAAAGAGGAAATCTAAGTGACTCAGGCATACTGTGCAGCATACAGTGCAATGGAAAGTCAAGGCCAAAGATCGCAAAGATACAAAATGAATTATGCGGTTTACTGAAATATATGGGACAAACATACAAGTTCAATAAATGATTATAAATCTCTACATGAAATGTTTGAGCATGGTTACAAATATGGGTGCAAATTCTACTGCCAACTATATACAAAGTAAGAGCTGAGGATAAGAGTGAAGATCAGAAGATGTAATTTCTAGAAGCAGAAAAACATTCCAAATATTAAGAGTTATGTGGGCATTTAGAATATTGTGGTAAGGACTTTGATCAGTATGTGCTAGACTGCGTTCTATAGGAACTGAAACTAAGACGGACAGTTGAGAGTCAGGACATATAGAAAGTGTAAAGGTTTATAAAATACTAAAAATATAAGTCTGCAACATATCAAGTATAATTTCGAGACTTTTCAAATGCAGTTACCAAAAGGTGGACAAGAAATGACCTGTGAATCAGTTTGAAGAAGTGCTTCGGGATGCGTGTAGAAATTGAGGAGGTGACCTAGTGAGACTCCAGCTAAACAAACAGAGGTGCATTATTCCTGTGAGGCACTTTTCTTGTGATTCACCGATAATGAATCCACAGAGTCAGGGTCCGCCGTCCGTGCTGGGATACGTGCACGTGGTGCCTGGTATTTTTTTTTTTTTCCTTTTCCTCTTTTCTGCTTCATGTCTTCTACGCCCACTCAATGCTTCGGTAGCATTACTGAAGACTGAGCCATATTCTGTAAGAAAAAGAAGAAGAGAGTCGTTAACCTTTCATTTCACACGTTATTCTAGTTTTGGCGATGTGGAAGATGTGGAGTGACTTGTAGAGACGGAACGACGGAATTCCGACGTCTCTAACGTGATCACTTTATCTGACAAATAGTTTCTTAGTAGGTGTAGTAGACAATAAAATAGAAATCCAACAATCGTCACGTGCATGCTGCTGATTCTGTGCAACTGAATCGTTCAGTTACACAAGGTTAAAACACCTGCGACATGGAGTTCAATCAGCAAATAGGTTTCAAACAGCTGGCTCCTATTTAAGGAGATGTTGTATGTGCTGGTTATCACACAGTCCTCTGAAAATCTGTCCCAGGCACTGACTAAAAAGTTGAATGGAAAAGTAAAAGTATATACAGGTGGCGAAAACTATAGGCCAACTAAAATGAGGTCAAGTGCCTCAAAATGGTAACGAGAAAGATGGGAAGAAAATGCAAAAAATGCCATCGGAATCAATCAAATCATAACCGGAATGGAATGTCCTCGATGTTTTGAATACGTTTTTCTCGGTGCATTTGCATGTATGCAAATAAAAGCTATTGGAGGAATTATAAAATTTTCCCACCTTCTATAAACATCCTATTATTTTAAACGCAACTGTACATGTTAAAGTAAAAAAAAAAAAAAAAAAAAAAAAGACAGAAATATCTGTTGCCATTTAAACACTTATTCTACCTATGATTTTAATTACTCTGGGAATTTTAGAAAACTTGCTCAAAATGCATCTAAGGAATGTTTCCGCCATAAAAAATAAAAATAAAACGTGTCTAGCCTCTGTTTTTTAAGCTACACCTTTTTGTTGCTGTACTTGCTTGCAGTTACTTCTACCAACATCTAACATCATAAAGTCTGTCTTACAGACAGAGATTTAAGGGGATTGTGCATTGACATCTTTGGTGGCTGGGTTGGTGAAAATAAACAACAAACGGCAGCAGGAGACAATTTTAAGAATGACCCTGTAAATCAACAAGCAGACGCTGTCGCCAGATGTTAATGACATTTTGTTGGAGTATTACTTTTAAGTTCTTGGTGGTTTGAGTCCAGTCCATCTGGCTGATCTGCGGTATTGCAGTCAGCAGGATGCTGCTGGCTTTGTTTGCGTTCTCCTTCATCGTCTTCAGGACATTATCAACACAGACCTGAAAAACAGGAAGAATGGCAGCAGCGTTACAGCAATGAAAATTTCTCTTCCTCTAAATGTCACTGATCTTCTGCATTCCAAACAAAATCATCAATGTTTTTTTTTTTTTTTTTTGCATGTTGCATGTTTTTGTATCCACTTTTGGTTTGTGGGTTATGTGTTTGAATGCCTGTGTCATAACCCCAAATAAGGTCCTGAGGAAGTGCTGTGAGCCCGATCTAGATTTTATTTTTCTCTCCAGTCTCAATTAAAAAAAAAGGTAAAAATAAAGTCTAACCATTTGAATTTAAGCAAGAAAAAAAAAAAAAAAATCGGAAAAATCATTTTGTTATTTAACACACACAAATGATCTTAATTAATTTAAGTTAGAAGATAGTTTTGGTGCCTAAAATGTAAATCATCAGAATACTGGCTGCACTGTGTTTCATCTTGGTGTGTTTTCCCTTCAGATTGCTTATGCTCAATTTAACTTAGGTCTGGACTTTGACTGTGCCATTTTAACACATTCCAGGACACTCTTTGATCTAAACCATCCCACTGGGGGCTGCATGTTTAGAGTCACTGTCCTTTTGTTCCCTGTTTTCAGCTCCATCCACCTTCTGTTTAACTCTGACCAGCTTCCCTGTTCCTGCTGAAGAAAATCCTCCCTTAAGCATGATACCGCCACCACCATGTTTCACTGTTTGGACGGTGTGGTCAGGGTAATGTGCAGCGTCTGCTATTCGCCAGACAGAGTTTTGCATATCAGGCAAAATGCTCGATTTGGTTTTATCTGATAAAAGCACATTCTTTCACATCTCTGTTTTACTTCCTGCATTGTTTGTGTCATGACTTAATATGGTTTTCTTTCAGTAATGTTTCTTCCCCCTCTTTTATAAATGACATTTGATCACCATTCATCTAGCTTTGACAGCGTTATAAAAACAATAGGAAAATTCTGTCTTGTGGAAATAAAATACAAGCTGTTGCTCAGTATTACAAGCTTTAGAAATATAATTATGATGGGATGTTTACAAATTCTGGTACATTAATATATCAATTTAAATGTGTTTGGAAAGGATCATACAGCTGAAATGCTTTCCGTAAACACCTTCCAGCCTGCCATTTACATATAATTTTGAGAAAGAGAGACAGACAGGTCGGATGTTCTTTTCACTTTTTCAGATACAAATCATTTTTGATTTTCCTTCTTTTAAGTTTTTGTCAATATTTGAAGTAAACTTGTAAAGTTTCACAATTTGAAATCTGCTCACTGCGTATGCAGCATGTGGTAAATAGTTTGACTTGTTCAGCACATTTTTTTAATCTGATGAGGTATAAAAAAATGATTCACACAGTTTTCCTTTCGTTTACACAGCTGCTTTGTGTAAGGTTAAGATTGCATCAGCCTAAGAGTGTACAGGCTGCCAACTACGCAAGTAGCTAATTTTCTCAGGACCGTCACACACTGTACAACTTTTCATGTAGCTGCAGATTTTAAGTCAGTAAGTCAAAAACCAATCTTACGATTGGGTAAATATGTAACTCATGAGTCAATGTGACAAATTAACCACACGTTGATATTCATGACAAATAGATACATTTTTCTTGACACTCTAGTAAACACACAGCTTTTTGGAACAGTTTACTGTCCAAAAACCCGCTAGTGGCTGGAATTGCTCATTTTTAGCCTGTACTATATCAGCTGAGTGGAAACTTTCAAATTACAAGCTGGTTTCTGAACAGTGAATGCATCACATTAATTCATACCAGGTCAGACAGATGACAACTCTCTTCTGAGTGACACTTCATTATTATTCTTTCATCTTTTGAGAAGCGCTTGTCTCACTTCCCATCAGATAGAAACTTCTGAGTTGAATGAAAGAAGAGGTTTGAGTAATTCTGAACCTAACTCTGCTTTCCACTGTGAACTATTGGCTGTTCATTCAGACTGACATATGCGTGGCATCTCCTTTGGTCCCAATATAAAAATTCTGATATATGGTTCATAAAACCTCCATATGGAGTGTTTATAACTAAAACAAATGTTTCAACAATGTAATATAACAAAACCAAGTAACTATGTTACATTCAGTTTTTATATATATAAAAAAAACACGACATAAAACAAATCTGACTTTGCAAAAAGAAACCTTGAAATTGGGCCTCTGTCTCTTTAAGAAGACCCTAAGCTGATCATCTTAAAGAGACAGATTTTACATAATAGCCCCCCTTAACTTGGAAATCACTGGGGGGTTTTCTGTCTTGAAGTAAACAAATATTTTGACAAACTCAGAAATTCTGAGGCATGAAATAGAAACAAAAGTAAGTGAACTATGATATGAATTGTAAGCAGAGTATGCTGTAAATTAGTCACTTTTATTTTATCTGTTAAGATATGTGTAACCCAGATCCTGGAGGAGACACATCTGTGTAACAGTGGGCTGTTTTTAAGAAATACAAGTTGTCCTTTTGGTTGTTGGGTTTTTGTTGTTACTGTTGCTATGACCAGAAAGTAGAAGGGAAAGTGTTTTAGTTTCATTTCTTAAAGAAAAATTGGACGCGCTGAAACTGAAACTGGCAGTTCTGAGCTTTGCAAAACAGAGCGACTAGAATTTGGCCACAATGTGTCTAATTTATGCATCTCTGTTGAGTATAATTTTGTATCCATCTTAGAAAATATCAAATCACAAAGAATGCTCTGGTTGATGAAATCAGCCATTTCATCAACCAGACTTGGAAATATCTAAAAAGGCAAATTACACAATATAAACATGTTTGCTGTTAAAATATTTGTTTTGTTATTAGTATTTTTCTTTTACATTTTAAATGTCTAAAATGCTTCTCCATTCTGTTCGAGACTGCACAAAAACCCTGTTTTTATTTCACACACATTCCAAGTAAAATGTGTCTTACATATCCACGGGTCATATCAGACAACGTCTGAAAATGCCATAAAGTATAAATTACAGTCGGGGATTCTGGTACATCCGTCCTGTTTCTACCTCCTGTAGCCTTCCTCTGTTTTCATGTCATGCTTAATGAATACATTTGTGTTTGTGGTTTTTTTGATAGCATGAAGTCATGACTCATTGTGACTCAACCTCCTCTGGCAGGGCTTCCACCGGAGGCTGGCAGGCCAAGCAGAGTGGGGGTGTGTGGCGTGAGGAGGGAGGGGAGTAAACAGGGAGAGGCCAAGAGGTAGCAGCAGGCCGGGCCGGAGAGAAGAGAGATTGGTGGTGGTGGTGTGGAGGGAGGGGGTGGAAGGATGTGGCGAGTGTTTTGCAACAGGAGGGGGAAGAGGTCAGCTGCAGGAACTCGGAAGTGAAGCTGGATCACTGACAAATAAGCTAAAATTCGCCCACACACAAAACACACGCGCGCGCGCACACACACACACACACACAGCCACTATCAACCGGTTTTTATAGAGCGGCTGCCACAGGAGACGCCACTCGGAAGCTATAGGAAGCCGCAGGCAAAAACTGTGGATCACTTGGGGCGTAGGGGGAGAGACTTCTGAGAGCTCAATATGATAAGAAAACTTGAAAATGTGATCGAAACTGTGCAAGATGGGAACGTTTGGCAGCACATTACACAAGGAAACACTTTGAGCAATATAAACTTTCTCTGATAACAAAAAGAACTGTAACAGGACGTCAGTCGTGAGCATCCAGTCAATGATTATCATCTTCACTTGCTGTAAAATCATATCCCAGCCTTAAACGCGACAGCTGTCATGGGACACAGGGATATAATTGCAGAATAATTGCTTTATTGCACAACACGGCAGAGGAGAGTCCAAGTAAACCTGTTGACTGACACTGAGTTATCAGAAGAAATCTGCTGAACAGTGAACAGCTGTATGTCATATTTCAGGTTAGTTTCCTTATTACCACTGGTGTAAAGTGACAAAGACTAACCACATAAACCATGTCATCTTACTTGTTTTTTTTCTTCTCTCGTTCTCTGTCTTTCTTTTACTCTTTCCTTTGTTAGACGCAGCAACTACAGTGGAGCAAGTTGTGAGCAAGTTTGGAAAAATAAGGTTTAATGTGATCCCAGAGAAACAGCCCCTCCTCCACATGTTGCTGCACTCTTCCATTCAGCTGCATGAAAGAAGACTACCACAATGCTGCCTTGCTTACAAGACGGAAGGATTGAGCAGTTTGGAAACAATTCTAGCAGACACAATGTGGAAGCTAATAGAGCAAGTCTTTTCTAATGTACGTGTATTTTTGACCTTTGAAGCTGACAGATTGGGTCCATCACCCTGTTTCTGTCAGTCTGCAGGTGCTGTCTCAGTCCTTCATGGACATTAAAAAGGTGTGACAACCACAACCATTAGTGCTTTATATTTTAATGGGTCAGCAACACTAAAATTTTAAAAAATCGCCCCACAGACACTGCATATTTGAAAAGATGTGTGAGTGAAATTTTTAAGGGAAAGAGAAGTGAAAATCTCTCTGTGCATCACTGAGAAAATTCAAGACTTCACAAATAGGTCAAAATGATATTCATCTGCAAGTCCCATTGTTACTGCTAGCTGCTTAGATGTTTACAGTCAAGTCGGTTATTACAGTACAGCAAAAATGAAAAAAAAAAAAAATAAAATAAATAAATCTGAACCTTGTTATATTTTTTGATTTCCACGAGATAGCCGTCACCAACTGATCAACATCTTCCTCTTATTTAATTTAGCAATGAAACAGCACTCAGCTGTTTCAGGTCTGACTCATGTCAGCAGCGTCTTGGTGCCCGAGTCACTGAATCAGTGGGAACAACAGTTTGTCCTGCCACTCACCGCCTCTTCGTGCTCCTTCCAACAGTCGTAGTCTGTTGCCATTGCGATGCTGGCGTAGCACAGGCCGGCCTCTTTGGCGAGGACCACCTCCGGCACGGTGGTCATGTTGATCACGTCGGCGCCCCACTGTCTGAACATCAGGCTCTCTGCCCGAGAGGAGAAGCGTGGTCCTTCGATGGTCAGCATGGTCCCTCGCACGTGGCACTTGACACCCAGACTGCGCGCCACCTCCACCAGAACCTGTTACAGATAACAGAGCATCTGAGAAAGCTGGCCGTTGATGAAGCATTACTGACCTCTGGAAAGGAAAACAGCTCATAGGCAACAGCCATTCTTCTACGGTATTGCCATTAGGGTGATGGCAAGGAGCTCTACCAGCCTTCAGGTCCTGAAGCACGTCATCAGAAATAATTCAAAATACCAGTGGAAACATGCAAAAAAGATGGCATTCAATAATAAGAAAGGTTCGATTGATTATTGAGAAAGGTATAAATAATTTTGGCTGTGCCACGTATTATTGAAATGTAATTTTGTTTTTAAAATTTGTCACTCCTTTTATATCATTCTATTATTTTTTCTTTGTCTGAGAAGCAAGATTCAGGTATACCTGCTCATCATTCTAGGGAGAGGAAGAGTACACCCTGGAGAGGTCAATATAGTCCACAAAAAAAAAAACACACACGGCAAACACACGCACACACGCAAACACGCACACCTAATTCTTTTTTTAAAAAGTGTATTTTTCTGCTTCAGTCAAGATGTTTTATTTTAGCCTGGCCCCAGAATCTCGCTGCAGTGGAAGGTGACCAGCACATAGTACCTTTTTTTTTATTTTATTTATTTTTTAGACAAACTCACCTCTCTGGTTTTGTTGCAAAAAGGCTCGGCCATGGGGATGTGACAGACCCCCGGTGGGCTGGTGGGCTGCCCGTCATACAGCGTCTGAGGCCTCTTGGTCGTCCTGGAGAAGAGAGACTCAAAGTCTTTACTGGAGCCAATTTACAAATGCTGCTCTTTCAAATTCATGTCAAAATCAAGATCAACCACATCAAAGTGGAACATCTTACATTACAATAAAAGATCTCTTTAAAATAATCATCAATTTGAACATTAAACTGAATAGTACATCAGGAATGTATGTGATAATGTTGGGGAAGGTTTACCGTGATAATATTCCGCTAATATTCCAAATAACCAGGTGCTTCATTTTTATAAAGTTAATGTTGCTTTTCCTTGGGTTTTCTGCAGAGAGCAAACAGCATGGTGTCTATTTAAGAAGCTAATATTGAATCCAGTACAATCAGCTTTTTGCAATATGTATTTTTGCACAAATGAATACTGCAAAGTTGATAAAAGCACTAAGAACCACACATCAACACCAATATGCATCGAGTGGTTTCTAATACCGTAGACTTGTACAGTCTATTGTAACACTGATACACTGCTTTCCTCATCTATCCAGGACAATAAAGTGTAGTGATAGAAAAGCAGCAGTTTTTGTTTTATAAATAAAACAAGTGTCCTCTGTGTCAGTGAGCTGAGTCAGCCGTAGCTTCATCCTGTCTCCAATGAGCTCATAATGCAGACAAACGGTGGCAAGCACACAAATAACCTATTGACTTCTCCCAGCGAGCCGAGAACATCAGGCCTTCTGTGGTTCCCCGAAGCCTTCCAGCTGGGTTTTTAGTTATGAAACCCTTGAGCTTTGGAGTCAGTGAAGGTGAAGGAAGAATACATTTTGTTCTCTTCACGTCTTACACTGCGAGTATGAAAACATGTTTTTAGATTTTTATATGGCACTCTTTGTCTAGAAAGGAATACTAAATGAAAGGTCTACAGTAGGGCTGACTGAAAGTGACTTCTTGCTTTCTGGTGTTTTCTCAGAGATCATAGAGTCGTAGCAGCATTATCTTAGACACCCCAAGTATGAACACCTCTGATGCCCTGCCCTCATCTCTTACTCACAACCGTGGCATTGGATGATTAATGTCAGCCTTTAAATACTTTGTGCAAGCTTTGCAAAGCTTCCCGTCAACAGCAACAATTTAGGTGGGACAAAGCGTGAGCCGAGAACAATGCCTGATTATATCAAGAAAACCAGTTATCCTTGGCCTTGCAGTTCGCTTGTATTTAAAGTGCATTTTCCACAATGCATATTTACGAAATATTTCATATATTCCTGATACAACCACAAGGAATTAGCAGTACAAGGCAAACATTACTGAAAGGGCAGTCAGCAATTTACGTTTACGTGTTTGAATGTTAAGAATACTATTTAGGGGTTGTGATGACTTTTTGCAGAATAGAATGGTTACACAAGACATAAATGAAGGAGTCAAAAATAAGAATTGGTTACATATATTTGAATTGATTGTGGACTCCAATTGATCCACACCGGGTCAAAATTATACTCATAAGCTAAAATACATGAATGCATCCCACCAATGTGTGGCTTTCGAACTCAAGAACACTGCAGTAATTGGTAAGCATGGTAGAGGCAGAATCATGCTGAGGGGCGTGCATGTATATACTGACTTTGGCTCCGCGTGGATTAAAGAAAGATCAAACTTCCACACCTACTTCCTATTTTCACTCAAGCTTGTTTATTGAATGATTATTCCACCTGGGAAATAAACACTTCAAAATAAATAAACACAAGCTCAAATTTTAAAAAAAAGTTAGGCCAAGTCATGTATGTAAACTTATATCACTGGAACTACGATCACTGTTCAACTTGTCTGATTAAGACGGTGCCATGCATGGAGTTAATGAGAAGTAAAAATCTGAGGTATATTCAGGAAAAACCAAACACAGGCTGGCTTCAAAGCAAAATTGCGAGAAGGCATTTACCAAATGTTCCTTAACGGTAAGCGTGTGGTACTTTGAAATGAAGGAATGAAGAGATGTTGCGCATATCTGAAACCTCCCATTATTCCTGCGAGACAGTAGCCGTTAAACATGTACGACGAGTACATTTAATTTTCTAAAAATGCTGCCCGGCCAGTTTGGAGCTGAACGTTAGCTATTTAATCAACCGCAAAGATCTGCGGCCGTCGCCTGAAACGAGAGAATGGAAGAAAAAGGCAAAGTTGAGATTTAGATTTACAGGAACACAGGACACTGGCACAAACAGACAAAGGCATCTGTTTATTAAAAGTTCAGCTTCTGCACGATGAGTTAACGAGATGGGCTGAGCTAAAGCGATGCAATCACATGCGCTGGGACAAGTCCGAGCAAGTCCCAATGTTTAACTTCCTCATTTCGGATGAATAAGTCATGGTGAGGATAGTTCATCTGGTTCCTCAAAACACTCAACAAAACCACAGGCTGAAATGTCGGAGAGCAGGTTATTAAGATCGGCTTGACTCGCCTTGTGCCAACTCACAAGTCACAAGGGCGGTGATTCAAATAGGAACTCGGAAAATGTACAGCCATGTCTTGGAAGACGGTGTGCTCTCGTCTAAACTGGCTGTCTTTTCAATGTTTGGAGAAAAAAAAAGAAAAGAATAGGGGAGCGCTCGCCTCGAGGCGAGAAACAGCTGAGGAAGAAATTCTTAGCCACAAGACAAAGATCTTTATTTTTTTACCATCAGTGGCAGCAATCTGAACATGTGAGACAAAACACCTGAAGAAGAGAAGCAAAAAATGCCTGTGTATTCCACCACCATTTTTTTCTTTTATTTATATTTTATTACTAATGTTCTCTGAAAAAAACTCAAGAGTCCTTCCTAAAAGCAAAGATGTTAAAACCGGGACTGCATGAAATCAGAAAAAACCCACATCTAGACTATTTTACTTAATCACAATGTCCCACCACTCTCTGCCAAAAATATTATCATCCATGCGTTAATTTGCTGTGCTGCTGTAATGTATCTCAAGATTAACTTACACACAGACGGACTTCACTTACCGTACTAGGCATAGGACTTCTGAGGGGAACTGGAGTTGATTTAGGGGAATCGCAGTAAAATGCGACTCAATAAAGATCAGCACCACACTTTTCAGATTTTTTTTTTTTTTTTTGATAAAAACTACAAAATAGACACCCCCACTCATTGTTTTCCTTCCACTTAAAAAAGTCTGTGCTCAAATCTGGATAAAACGCAGACATTTGTGGCTGTGACGTGAGAACATGTTCAAAGGTTCCAGAGGTATGAATACTTTTGCACCGAACTGAACGTCCAATATAATTTCCTCTCACTTCAATAAGCATTACATGTCAAAACACTGAACACTGCACTTGGCGCAAAAACTCTTCACAGGTTAGAGATTAGAAGTTCACCTGTTTACCTCCTGAAACTACCTTTAAGCTGATCCACAGTCGGTTATGTTACCATGCCAACTAAATGCTGATTCAGTCTGACCTCATCCTGACCTTGGGCTGAAAAATCCTCTCACATACGTACGGTTCTGCTTCTTCAATGTCAGCTCAAGTCTGGATATTTGTGAAGCATTTTTACAAAGTCATCCTGGTTGCTAATTATCAGTATTAGACAGGAACAAAAATGCAACAAAGTCGACCAACAGGCTCTGCTGTAATTTTAGCGGCAGTTATTTAATATAAACAGCCCAAATGAAGACCACAAAAGTCCACACCAAGTATTGAAAAAAACCCCTAAACATCCATTCGTAGACGTTCAACAAACACGGACATTTCATCCTCCTCTTAACTAACTGCCAAACCAAACACACAGACCAAGAAGACGTTAAACAGGTTTGTCAAATTACAAATCAACTTATTGTGTATAAACACTCGATGTGAACCGACAGCAGAAATTCTCATGCAAGAACAAAATCTCACTGAATGAATGTAGAGCAGGGGTCACCAACTCCAGTCCTCTAGGGCTACCATCCTGCAACTTTTAGATTCACCTCTGCTCCAAAATGTCTGAGTTCCCTCACCAGCATTCATTCCTCTCTGCAATAGGCTGGAAACGAGCAGTTTATTTGATCCAGGTGTGTTTGAGCAGAGACGCATCTAAAAGTTACAGGATGGTAGCCCTCGAGGACTGGAGTTGGTGACCCCTGATGTAGAGACTCATGGAAAAAAACAAAACAAAGAAAAAAAACAAAAAACAGGAATACATAGAAGTATCTCTGTCCCAAAAGTTAAGACGATTATTTTAGTAGTCTTCTCGCTGAAACATCATGCTTTCAATTTGTTTTCTCTTTAGCTTTTCACTTTTACTTCAGCAAACTGCTACAAAAATTACTCTGGAGAAGTCTTCAGTTCCCCCCCCCACACACAATGCAGGGCAGAAGGCAAACACTGCTTTTCTCACATCACACCAAACATTCTGAAAAAAATCTTCCTTCCTTCCTGACACGGATATCCGAACACTTTGAAAGTTAACACAGATTCTACTCTAACATGATCCTAGTGTCTAAACAAAACATCAGCTGATGTCAAGTCAAAGGGGTTCATTCATAAACAAGAACACCCGGTTAGCTAGTCACACTTCACTTGTTCTACTTCATATCACACTTGTGTGTAAAAACAGTGCTTGAGAAGAATGAGGGTTGGTTTAGAAAAAGATATTTAAATATATAACCCAATTAACCCAAATTTGGCTTACACCATGGCTTACGTCTCTATTTAGCGTCAAAACAACTCCAGTGCTCTGAACATCAAGTAGCATAAAGCTAATTAAAAACAGCTTACAGTACAATCTCTGCTCATAAAAACGGTATAAATGCTGGTGCATTACAGGTTCAGGTTGTACCTAGTTATTATTTATCATCATTATTTACAGAAGACATTCTGAGTGACTTCAGCTTCTGGTGCTAACAATAATAATGGTGACGTCAATGCTGACGTTAAACTGGTAACCGTTATTAATGTGCACACAACAACAACGAGACAAAAATGTTCACAGGTATAAGATGACAAGAATGAACAAGTGTTGATATTTTGTGGAAGTTTGAAGTACGTCAAACTTAATGGCTTAACAATGTTTCTAAAATGCAAATTGGGATTGAAACAAGTTGGCAGTTGGGCAAAACTCATTAAAATATAGTTAGAAATGCTCTTTACTCCAAGTGCTGCTGTCTTTTTTATGTAAGAGCTATGCTTCTTATTGAAGGAAATCTTGATAAAATCATAATTTTAATCTATAAAATTTTGTGGATTTTTTTTTTTACATTTGAAATAACACCTGTTATTTCAAATAACAAGTGTATTGCAGTATGTTTTCATCGTGACAATGCCTGAAGCATTTCCCCAACATTTACAATAGTATCATGAATTTCCACATCTTGACAACAGAGTGCAAGAGAGAAAGTCTTCAAGGGTTCTTTTAGCCAGCTGTAAGAAGCAGCAGGTGGGCGAGGTGATGAGTCAGTCTACGGCCCATTCACCCGTAGAACCCTCTGGCCACTGAAATCTTCCCCGAGAAGGATCTTAAAATTGAACATTAACCTCCAGGAAAGTTTTGATGCAACATTTAAGTTGTTTTGAAACCAACACTTTTTCCAATCTTGGCATCACTTCATACTGGTAAGCGGCTACCGTCTCGAGGAGTCAGGAATCAGTTGATCAAAGCACGTGCATTGCACACGTCACTGACCTGTCGATGAACTGATCTATGATGACGATGTCACCGGGCTGAATCTCTTCCCTCAGGGAGCCACAAGCCGTGGTTACCACCAGATGAGTGCAGCCCTCTTCTCTTAGAGCCCAGATGTTGGCCTGGTAGTTCACATTCGACGGCATTATGGTGTGCTGTCTCCCGTGTCTACGTTTGGCAAAATTCACAATGTCATTTTATACATTGTGAAAATGTATAAAAAGTGTTAAGCCCTTTTTCCAGTGTTGGAAAAAGGGCTCAAAAGCCCATGAACGGCTTGGCCCTTTTTCCAAGCCGCACTGTCAGCACAGGAGAGCTTACCTCGCGAGGAGCACACATTCCACATTTTTAATCTTTCCCAGTATCAAAGCATCTGAGGGCTGTTCAAGCAAAACAGGGAAATCTTTCAGAATACACCGCGAAGCCAAAACAGAGCACATGAAATGCTTACTCTTTACACCACAGAGTGCGCTTTGGAACAAACAACTTGCCTTTCCATATGGTGTGTCAACATAACGCTCTGTTCTTCCTTCCAGAATATCTGGATCATCAAGACCTGACCCACCGATGATTCCTATCTAAAAAGAAAACAAGGTAAAAAGTCACAAAGATATGAGCTGTGTTTTGAATTAATTTTGGTGGTTGCATCCAGCCGCAATGGTTTGTCTTTGTTTGCACTTTAATACACTTTACATAAAGAAACAAAGAACTCCACCTGCCAATGCAAATTTATGGTGTACCCTGGAAAAGGTAACACACCTCAGAGGCAGCAATGCGACCACCAGTATGATTGATTGATACAAGCTTAGTTCGACAACAACGACTCTGTCTTGCAAATTTCTGTGTGTGACGACTGGCTCCATCCCAACTGTGAAATGAAAACTATGTATGCCTAACATATATCATCTACTGTACATCTTTGGGTATCTCCACAGCACACTGTCAAAAAATATGTTGTTTTTTTTTAAAGCACACAGACAGAAAAAGCCTTGCTAGCTCTCTGTTAAGATTAATTGTAGGCTAGTAAAATCAACAGAGACAATGGCTAATGTCATCAGGTTGCATTAATAGCACAAATGTTGATTTGCATATGTCATGCAATGGACTTAACCTGATGTGTCTGAGACAGGGTTTCAGTCATATCAGGCAGCAACCTGACAATCAGGTTGCTACTAAAGCAACCTGATTGTCAGGTTTTATTAAATGTCTGAGACTGGGTTTGGCTCAAAGGACCCCAGCGTTATGGAGGATGCTGCTGTTGATGCTAAAGTGGAAGCAAACAGTGACAATGACTGGAAACATATTCAGAACTTTTACTGGTACAAATTGGTTTACTAGATAGATACAGAAACCAGAAATCCAAAAGTTCTGTTTTGATGGAATCACAGTTTAGGGAAAGTGGAATGGCATGTAGCCTGAGTTCATATTCCTTTATCCAAATTAAACTTCTGACTGCTACGTGGCAGAGGTTTGTTTGTTTGTTTTTTTCTTAGTTTTTCCCCTCCAGTGTAACCTGGAATGAAGTAAACTGTTCTACATGTGCTGATAGAGTGTAGTTAACTGAATGCATTGAGCAGACATACCAACCTTCCTTGAAATGATCATAAAAGATTTTTGATCATGAACTCAGGCCGTTGCAGTCTGTTTTAGTTCTCTTCTTAAACCTATTTCGTTGTAGTGTTTGACTAGGACACATGTCCCCGTCAGTCAGTCAGTAAGCGTGGCGACAACAGCAGGGTGAGCTCAGGCGGCCACGTGTTTAGGTAGGGTTAAAATTCTGATGAAAAATAAACACATTTTATTGCCAGAATAAAAGCCTCCGAGTTCCCACAGATATGCTTAGCTAAGTGTTAAAGTCAAGTTACTGTGTAAAGTAGCTTAGTTACAATGCTAACGTCAAGACAATGTTTGTTCCTTCACTTCTAGGTTTGATATAGATTATATGGCTTAGTCCCCCTCCTTTCAGCGAGCTCAGCCACGTAACGTTCAGTAGCAGCTAACAATGCTCGCAATGTAGCATGAAACGATAGTTAATACCTTTACGGGCACGGAGGACGCCATTACAGTTATCTTCTTGCAAGAAAAAGTGGAGGGTTTGGTCAAATAGAGGAAGCTTCACCATGAACATCCGTTCGCACTGTAAAGCGCCAGTATTTCTCTTCCTGCTCGGTCATTTGAAAAATAAAAGCACTGCGGAAAAAAATAAATAAAAAAACATCTCCGACTGTTAGAATGTCAATTATTTCATTTACCAGCCAAACTTTTGTTATTTATCGCTTAGAAAAGGTAAGAGGTGAGGAAGAGTCTGGAAAATGAATGAACGCAGAAACTCAGCACACGTCTGCAACTTAAATCTAACTATCTGTAATATAAATAAATATGCAAAATTTGTTTTAATATATTTATGGGGTTTTTGTATCATCAACTTCATACTAGTTTCAACACCACGTGTGTCTTTGAGGGAGTCAGTTTTCACCTTTTGTTTTATTTAAGACCTCTAAAAGGTCATATCGTTCATATGTAAAAACCAGCGATTGTCTTTTAAAAAATCATCTTAATTTAACCAAAAGCCAAAAAAAAAAAGGTTTTTCTAACTTTTAAAACCATTATCCCGTCCACTAGATGTCACCGTAATCTCAGTGCCTGCTTAATCTGTGTAGGTCTTGTCCGTTTTTGAGAGATATCATTGTTACTAGATTGCCCCCTTCTGGATGGGAGATAAAGTTAAACAAGAGTACTTCGTGGAATATTTAATATTTTCCCTTTAAAACTGTCTTGTTTAACGCATTTCTGACCGCAGAAGTATGTAAAGACACAAACACCCACGGTTTCACTATTTTGAAAATATTTGGTTTGAGATTATGCAGGAATAGATAAAGATCTCCACCGAAGTTATTCCTACCTCTGGTAGATTCAAATTCAAAATAATCATTTAAATTGACTTGACAAATTTCTAAGAAAGGTAGAAAATAGTTTTGACATGCTGTTTTTTTTTCCAGAATGAAAATGTAAAAAAAAAAAAAAAATACTCTTTTTAAATCAAGTGCCAGTATGTGTGGCAGATGTATATCTATCGTGTTTCTGACAGACGCATAATGATTTAAATAGGTTAATCTTTTGGGAAAGTGTCCTTTAGATTACTATTTGTTGCAACATAGTGCAAAAAATAGTAAGTGCATAATGAATCTACAAATAACTTACTCATTATAAACATCACCAGTAGAACATCCTCCACAGTAACCCATTTGAATTAATTCATAAATTAAACTTGATACAAAAAAAAATTCATTTTTGAAATCACAGTGCCATTTTAATGGTAACAACTGAATTACTGGCAGTTAAAAGTAGATCTGTGCCATAATTACAACAGAAAGGCTTAAAATCCCTGAATAAACAGACACCTCTGCACATTGCAATATTTCAATATTTTAACAAAATAACAGCTCATGCTTGTAAAATATACAATTCAAAAATATTTACCCCTCTACCTTGGTAGCACTGTCATGTAAAACAGCCTTTAATAACTTTTTACATGGTGGGCATACCAGACAGTTTTGATACAAAATGTCATTAAAGATAATCTGTTTTGAACTGTAGAACGTACATCGTTTGTGAGACATATGGAATTTACGGTGGAAAAACATAGTTACAATAAAAATAATATAAAAGAAGAACTGGACACCTGATAGTTTAAAGACTGTTCTGATGCAAAATACTTGTGGCAAGCTCTAGAATATTTAATCCATCAATGTGATTGTGAAGCTTGGTCCACTGTGGCAGGGTTTTCTCCGCCATCAGCAGCATTGTCGATGAAAGTATGTTCAGTAGTTCTACTGACAGGCGTGATGCTGCGATTGGCAAATGACTCATTGTCGCTCTCAATTGTAATGACATTGGGCGAGGACTTTGCTTTGTGCTCGGAACTCTTGCTTTTTTTACTTTTCTTCTTGTGCTTCTTCTTCTTATGGTGGTGCTTGTGTCGCTCACCGACGACCTCTGTGCTCCCACTCCTGCTTCTCCTCCTCGACCTCTCTTTGGATCTTTTATGGTGCTTCTCTTTGCTTGTCTTCTTGTGTTTTGTCAACGACATGGAGTCACTTTGGCCACTTTGGGTGTTCTTGGACGGTTCTGCCAAATGTTTAGCTTTATATTTCCTTTTGCCGCCAGGCTTGTCGTGATGAGATTTCCTTTCTGGCGAAGAGGAGCAGCTGCTGGAAAACGCTCTGGATCGAGACCGCCTCCCGTCTCGTCGGTGAGACGAGTCCCTGCTGCGGCTCCTGGACTTGGAGTGCGAGTACTTGTGGCTGCTGTAATAGTAGGACCGTCTCTGTGTGTAGTGAGTTACGCTACCATTCCTCTCTCGTCTGTAATGGGTGTATGACTGGTAGCTGTGGTCGCTGTCCCTCCTTGCATGCAGTCCATCAGTTTTTGAGAAGTTTCCACGACGGGCATGAGAACTGAAAGTGCTTTGAGAAATTACTGGACTTTTGCTAGAGTACTTGCGCCCTCTGCTCTTTGAGTGGCTCTTCTTTCTCTTGTGGTCTCTCTCCTTTGATTTATGTCCCTCAATAGACCTTTCCCTGCTGTCAAACCTTTTATGTGTTCTTCTACCAGTTGAAGTATTGTATGTGTTTGAGCCAAGTCTTTCTTTAGAGGAGGACTGATGATGGTGGTCTGTTTGGCCTTTTGGAGTTTCTCCAGCCTTACTGGAATCACTACTGTGTGAATTTGCAGGACTACAGCTGGTGAAACGGATGTGTTGCGACTGAAGAGGAGCTTCTTGGTTCTCCTCAACAGAAGAGCCATCAGAGTCGGAAGACAGATGAACCAGCTCTGGAGTCCTTTCTGTTGTAGGCTTAACATATCCCACAATGACACAGTCATCACCGTCAGAAGATGCACAGTCTTCATTGGTGCCGTCTGCATGAGCAACATCTGTTTGGCTATAAGAACTAATTTGTGGTGGAGAAGCCCCAAACATTTGCTGCTCGTCTTCTGAGCTGCTTTCTGAATCCAAGTCCAGGACTGTCTGAAAGTCTTGCCTGCTGGGCTCTGTTGTTGTTGAATACGAAGGCCCAGGCGTCTCATCGTCCCACAAAGACTGACTCAGAGTAGATGCCGAGTTCCCAGGAGGTTCCATCTCTGCAGAGTTTTCCTCGTCCTCTGAAATGGCGATTACAGAGGAGTTGGAGCTGCTGTGCTCATTGGAGGAGGGTGCAGGGCAATCATAAACAGCATGTTGGTCGTAGGCCTCCAAATTGAAGGGGGACTTTGCAAAATTGATGAATTCGTGCAGAAAGTGTTCTGTACGACCCTGCAGGAAAGGTCTGAGCTCTTCCTGGATGGCTCCGTCCTCCATATCGTAGCGTGTAATGCGTGACATGATGATATGCTGAACTATGTGGACCAAAGAGCCGTGGGCCCCGTACAGCACCATCAGTTCTCTTTTTAGCCACGGGACGAGTCTGTGTAGGCAGGCAGGATTTCTTCTATAAAATTCAGCGGATGTGTCTCTGGAGCGCCCACCGTCCCTCACATTCCTCACCCTCACCCCCCTTCGGTAGAGCTCCCTTCTAAAGTTGATCATCTCTTGCTCCCTGACATTGTTCACAGCTCTGCCTTCGCTTGCAGCTCTCCTCTTAGCCGCCAACCTCATCATCATGCGGCGAATGTATCGATCCCGTCTCTGCTGGGGTAAATCGGAGGAAGCTTCAAACATTACTCCGTTATCTGGAGGCGGAGAGGTTCTTCTCATCTGTCGATGAACCCCAGTGAGAGTCGTTCGGTATCGAAACCGAACTCCTTCGAAATAACCAAATGAGGAATTTTCCACCTGCTGTTTCAGTTCATATTTTTGAAAGTCCTCGTCTGATTTTATGCTGTGATAGATTGAACTAAATGGCTGTTTGCACAGTGGGCACTCAGGTTTGTTCTTCGACCACTCCAGAATACAACGGAAGCAGAATTTATGGAGGCAGCGGTCCAAGTAGGACATATTATGAAATACGTCCAAACAGATGGGGCACTTGGAGTCTGGAGACACGTCTGCAGACATTGTCTTGGAGGTTTTACGCCTTCCACTCTTTGAGCTGTGCTGTAGGGCAACCTTGACTGCTGACATGATCTGATGAGGAAAAAGGAAAGTTGACCATTTTGGAAAAATTAAGTTAAAAAAAAAACAGTCATGAAACAATTTCACAACATCCCGAAAGCCCTATTTTTTTTTAAGTTTCTCAAAGACTTGCATGACAAAATGAAGACAACTTAGTTGGTGTCTCTCAGTGATTTTTTTTTTTTACTTTTACATCTTAATGGCCTTTGAACAAACATTAAAAAAATATTTTAGCAGCAGAGAGAGCAAGAGTGGATGAACAATTTCAGTACGGCATTTCACATCCAAGCAGTTACCTTTACATTAGCATGATATTGTGCTGCCATAACAAAAAAACTTGCATTTGATGTTTTATCTTAGTATGCTTCATTTACTACTACTTCCTTTTGTTGAATGTTCTGATGCCAATTCGGGCATCTTAGAAAAGGTGAAAAGTAATGATCCATTCTCCAACCAAAATATTGCTAATTGGAGAAACTTCCAGTAGGTAGATAGTATTTTTGGAGCCACATGCCAACACCCTACCATAGACTTAGTAGATTTTATAAAGTTACTTTACATGCATTATCTGATGATCAACAACAGAATTACAATAATGTTATGGTGCATGGAATATTCACTGAATATGTAACGTTCCAATTAAGATATTCTCTGTTTATAAAAGGTTATTTTTCTTTATTTTGACACCTAATAATAAAAATAAAGTTGCAGTTCTTTTATTTTATACATATATATATATATATATATATATATATATATATATATATATATATATACACACACATATAGTGGGCATTTATAAAAATAGAGAACATTATTTTTAGAAGCTTTTGAGACAAACTTTAGCAAATCGGCCAGCATCCTTTAAAATATCCACAATAAGTTGCGGATATTAAAGCTTTTTAAAGCTGTAGCAAGCCCTTCAAATATAGAAGAAATACTGTATATATATTTTGATCAACAGCATTGGGTTCACACACGATCAAATGCCGTATTATAGTGTTGACATGACATCCTAAATAGTACTACACTGTTAAAGAACGACTTACGTCACTGGAACTGGATTTATAACAGAAAAAACCCCAAACCATCTTAAAACTTTAGTAGCTCAAAATGAATTTATTCTGTTTAATACCCACACAATTAAAAAGGTGTGGTAAGGACTACAATCATGATTCCTTCCAAGTGTAAGAAATCATAAAGAATTACGGGCACTAAAATTGCTAAGCCCGGGGTTCGTGTGTACTGTTCTCTTGAAAAGACATTTATATTACTGGAGGGGAAAACTAACTGGAAACTGTTGTTTAAGGATCAACTCGATTGAAGTTAGCAGACTAGCTAAATTTAGCTATGGAGGCTAGCAAGCACTACAGCTGGTTAGTTAGTCGGCTTTAGGAAAAGTTGTTTAGCATGTACCTGTTACTTTGTTGAACACGTATATGGTCGAAAACTAACTATACCTTCTCTCCTTGAAGAAACTCGCTCATTCCAAGACAAATTTATCGTTAAATATTTCCTTCCTCACATTTCATAACGCAGGCTTGACAACGGGAAGACCTGTGCACAACTTCCGCCTTTCAAAATAAAACAGCGCGTTCGCAATGTTTTTTAAGTTTGTTAAGCAGAGCATATAATTTGTGGACACTTGCATTATTTTTTACTTTGCACACATAAATGAATGTCTATACCCTAAAGAACACTAAACCTACAATAAGACATGCTGTGGTGGGGATCCTTCAATGAAAGAAAATCCTGCAAGTGAGGAATGGATCATAATCAAAGGGTGAGCGTGTGTTAAAAATTTGAAACAAAACCTTCAGGAGTTTGTGACAAAATTTGACTTGGATTATCGCTTTGCCTTCCAACATGACATCCATTGCTCCTGGTAGAAAGCTAACTCCATAATGCACATTATTGATAGATGTGCTCTAAACCCTGACTTGAATCCCATTGAAAACTTGCGAGGGTCAGCTGAAGATTAAGGTTCATTCCAAAAGACCATCAAATTTGAAGGATCTTGAGACTGCAGGCGGTTATCCAACAAAAATAAAAACACAAAATGACTAATAGCGTCAAGGGTTTTATAAAATGAATTAGTTTCTGTGTTCAAAGCAAAACACAGCTCTCATTTATAAATCTAGAATGCTTAAAAAAGGTGTTTGAAATTTTTGGAGAAAAAAAAGAAATATTTTAAAATACAATTTTGTCCGCAACTATGTTCAAAAAATGACTTCGAACACGCCCTGATTTAGATTACATCTAATCAACAAAGGAAAAGCAGCTACGACTTTATCTGTACACATTATTTTATGAGCATTTCCAAACCAGTTTGTTTTCCTAAAGTTGCTGCAGATATTCATGTTGCCGTATGGCTTCATCACAGAGAATAACATCCAACCCCCAAACGCATGCTTTCAAATTTCACATCTTAAATTATTTCCATACCTTATATTGGTGACTTTTATAAATTAACACAACTGCTGTTTGACAGGTGAGCAACCAGTAAATCAAAAATCAGCAAATATTTCTGGTTAAAAGAATTTCTCTACAAACATTTGATCCATGTTCTTGTGCATAAAGTACACAGTTTATTTTTGCAATATACATTTTTTTTTACAACAGAAACTCAAGAAAATTAATGAAATATTTCAGGTTCAGTGATGGCCATGTGTTTCAGGGAGACCAGGAAGAACTTCACCCGTCTCAAGAATGGTGTCACCCTGAGGAAAAAAAAAAAAAAAAACTCAGAAAGCAGGTTTATGACATTAAAGTTGAGTAAAGAGAGATACAAACCCTTTATAATTACATTAAAATAAAAGTAATAGAGTCAGAATTTATTTAAAAAAAAAAAATCACACTCACAGGGAAAAGCTTGGGTTTTAGCTCCACAATGCCGTAAGGTCTTTGCTGTAAAGAAAAATGACACCATTGTTTAGTCCCTCCTGATCAGATAAGCTTTGATTCACAATTATTTTCTAAATTATTAAGGGCAAGAAATACAGCCAGACAGTTTCTTTGTTACAGTTACATTTAAGTGCGATGGCTCGTCTCGGTTTCAAAGCATTTGCTCTTTGACATAAGGTTTGATCCTAGTTTGTCTGTGCAATTTTATTTCCTTCAGAGAGTTCATTCTGAGAGCCTGAGAGCCAAAGTTAAACTTAGAAAAGTTTAACTTTGAAGCTATATTTTTTTTCTTTGTCTGACTGCAACAAAATGGGTTTGTTTGATATACTGATAAGAGTTTTTCTTCCCTAACTGCATGTCCAGTTAAAAAAAGAAAAAGAAAAGACACACACACACACACAGCTGTCACCATTTCTGTGAACTTACAGCAGCGTGGTATTTCACATAGTAGTGGGCAAGCCAGGCAGGTATCAGCAGCCGTGTTAATGTGAAAACACCACCTTTGTACACCTTGTGGGTCTGCAAATACAGAAATTAATCAGTATTAAATAAAATAATAAAAAAAAAAGATTTTATAAAAGATAGATAATTCTAAGACATTTTAATTCACAAATAATTACCTTTTTTTTTTAACTCAAGGATTAAACTGGCCAGTAAGGGTGCAAGAGTATTTGAGTGGGATCATCAAATGGTTACATAGAACATACTGAATAGCACCTTCATAACAAAAACCATTTGAAGACTTAAAGACTTTTAGTTGAAATATAAATTATTCAACTCCTCTATTTAAGTGAGATTTTAAGACAAAAAAACATATCAAATGAGGACAATTTGAATTGCTTAACACCATAAATATTACAAGTAGCATCTTCAAGTTAAACATAAAATGTCTACAGCTGCTTCAAAAGTATTCAACCCCTTGATGACAACCATCTTTAGCATTCAGCAATATGACACCATATTGCTGTCATGTACTTAATGATCATCTCCTGCCAGGCTTTCTGAGGACGCTGACCAATTGCTCAAAACATTGCTTGGGATCACTGTCCTCCTGCCTGGGGGTCCAGAGATGTCCACTTCCCCACTGGCTCCATTACATTTTCTCCCAGGATTTAACTCAGTAAATTTAGTGAGTCAATCTTTATGCTCCACATCCTCTACATGCTACAGGTCTCCAGAACCACAAAAATTGGGTTCTTTTCAGCGAACGCTTCATTCTTCTTCTACAATGGATTCTACAATGTTTAACAGGTTGAAAATGTTTAAGAATGCACTTATTAAAAGTATGATGTGTTGACCTTGGATAAACTTATTGTAGCACTGCTTTTAATTTAACCATTCAAAATGTTCCTGTGCCATTTTGATTTACAAACTTAGCAGAGAAGATTCAATCATTTTAACCGTCAGAGTAGCTTTATCTACACAGGTGTTATGATTTACTAAAAATATTCTGGGTGCTGCAAATACAGTAATTATAATTGCTCAAATTGTGATCTGAAATTTAATTAAACTGATAAACTACTGAAGATGTAGCAGTTGGTATTGCACTGTATGTAAAATACGCAAACAATGGAATATATACAGACCACTGTTTTAATTAAATACTTTAAGTCTAACTAAATAATTTTCGCACAATAATATCATTGTAAGTTTAATGAAGCGCACATTTATCTTAATAAAGCTGTATCTCAGTCCAGATCACATTTAATATAACGTGTTGTTGTGTTTTAATGACTCACATAAAGCCTCCACAGACTCTTCGGCTCCAGAAACCCGGCCCAGAACTTAGCGACAGGCCCGAGAGGTTTGGGCTGCAGCACGGGCTCCCTGTGACTGAGCTCCTGGTCCTTTAGCCACTGCCTCCGGAGCTTCACTAGCTGCTGGAAGCGCAGCTTCTCGTCTGGTGTGTAGCCAGACATTATTATTCTTGAACGTTCAACCTCGACAGACCTACAATGACACCATGGAGGACACTTCCCTTAGCAGACAAGAGTAGCCGGAAATGCTACAAGAAGAAAATGACACAATTTAAGAGTTTAACTAATCTGAGAGTGACCTCTACTGGACAACAGTAGGAAGGAAACCGGTTGAGGGATCCAAGATGGGAAAAGGGAGAGAAAAGTTTTTGAGAGGATGCCCCTGGTTTTCTCCTAAATGCACCAAAATTTAATAAAAAAATAAAATAAAATCTTAACAATACTTTACAAGTAAATGATGCATTAATTATTCGTCTTTAGCTGAAGGTCTTTGGAATTGCTGTGCTGTTTTTTATATTATTAATTTTAGCCGCTAGATGGCGCCAGAAGCAACATTCTGACTAAAACAAAAAATAATATTCCATATTTTAACGGAACCTACCTAAAACTCGGGATTTATTTCAAGTAATATGTAAAACATTTTATTAGGAAGTAAATGTTCAAGAGACATAAGTGACTTAAAATAGTTCTCTTCATCACACATTAATTTCTATGTGTGTGAAGGACACCTCACTTGTTCTTTTTTTAATTATTTGTGTTGTTATTGTATATGTGTGTGTATCTGGGTGTATTTTATTTGCCTGTCACTTGCTGCATAAACCGGATTATTCTATTCTATTCTATTCTATTCTATTCTATTCTATTCTATTGAAATTGACATACTAATAACTGAAATAGTGAACATTTCCCTTTTTTGATCAGTTAAGTTGACTAAAATTTTTATATTTGCTAAATGAGAGAATAATATGACAGAAGAAGTTATTTCTTCTGTCACATCTTTCATCTTTCCATAATCTTCTCCCAGTAGTTTACTACAATATTCTGTTCGTAATTTTATAAATAGTTAGGTTAAACGGGAACCTTTCTTTTCCCAATTTTCCACCAGCCATAATTAATAAATAAATAAATAAATAAATAAATAAATAAATAAATAAATAAATAAATAAATAAATAAATAAATAAATAAAAATACATAAAGAGGGGTTCTTTTACTTTGAAAGTAGCCGGAAATAGTCATGTAACGTCTGTCCTCGCTGTTACTTTTAGCATCATGTCTTTAATTAGCTAACGCTTCCTTATTTTTGGGATTGAAGCTCAATAAAAAAATTTTAAAAAATCACCACACAAATTGCAAATGTTTCTCGACTTAGATTTTAACTCTTTATAAAGGTAAGTGTCGTTTAAAACGCATGTTTTCGTCCGGTCGACGTTAAGGCTAGCCATTCTGAGTAATTAACCTTGGTCGGGTTTTGTCAGAATGGTTTAATTATCATTAAAACAGCTACAAGTAAAACGTTAGATGATGACAAAACTTTTAAATTATTGTTAATGTCAGTTATAGGTCTAAGCTCATTGTCTGGTCAATTAAATAATTTTGTTTGTAGAAGCAGCTAGGGCTGTCACGTGAGCTAAGCGATAACGGTGAAAACATGTCTTCACCTGTATTATATAAGCTTGAATTTCGACTTACATGTGATAGCAATGGGGGGGGGGAGATCACGTTAATACCATTAAAACTGTTCCCATAGTTTTCTTAGAATAGATAAAGAAGTCAAATAGGTTTATTAAAACTAATAGTCACAACACATATGATGGCATACAGGTGCATCTCAATAAATTAGTCTATTATTTAAATTAATATTTATGTTAACTGTGATTATTTTTCTGTTTACAGGCAATGAAAACATAACATTTAAGATTAGACGATTACATCAGACCATTG